CAATCTCAAAATAAAGTCAAGCACAAAATTAGCATGATTGCCCACAAGTACTAAATATTCATACAAAAATGGCACAAGTGGCCACATACACATTTTTCATATATTTACCACATGTTCTCATTTTTATAATTACAATTATAATCTCAAATATAGCCATCAATCACCCAAATGACATAATAATAATAAAATGTATGATCAATCTCTTTCTTATATCCCCCTTATTTACTCTTACATGAAATCTGGGCCAACAATCAAAAGGGATCATTCATGTAATGAGATTACCCAAGGCCTTAATCATATTGTGTGGGGCTATCAGGCCAAAAATACCTTACTCACTTATGAACACTGTTGTTGGAGAGGAAGGCGCAATGGAAGATTACAAATTTTAAATCCATATTGTGAACACTGTATTTTATCTGGGAATTTTTTTTAATTTAATAACAATAATAATAAATAACCATAAAAACATATAAAAATACAAAAATAAAATTTAATCCTTTTTTGAATTATATTTTCAAAAAATATAAAATATAAAAATGAAATTTAATCCTTCTAGGGATTATGTTTTTTTTAAAAATAATAATCTTTCTTAAATCTTTAAAAATCTCTCACAAATTATTTCAACAATAGAAAAATTATGAGAATCAATTTTTTAAAAATTAAGTATTTTTAAATTCTTGTAGATCCGATTGTCTCCCTTATATGTACATATATAATAATAATAATAATAATAATAATAATAATAATAATAATAATAATAATAATAATAATAATAATAATAAACATAATTAAAAACCAAAAGAAAAGAGAGTTAATTAAAAACCAAAAGAAAAGAGAGTTAGGCTTCTTTCTTTTTTTTAAAAAAATAATAATATGGGAATCAAGGGTTAAACGCTGGAAAATCCAGCGTTTAACCAATACCTCTATCCTTTGTCCAGGTGCAGCATCAAGAAAAAAGAAAAAAACAGAGGTCAAACCATGCACAGGTTCTATGTCCAGACGTAGCACCAGAAAGAAAGAAAAACAGTGACTAAAACAAGCACACGAAACACACAGCAGAGACACAGCAAAAAGCAGATAAAGAAAAGAAAAAAACAGAGACCAAAACATGCACAGGTCCTTTGTCTAGACACAACACCAGAAAGAAAAAAAAATAGAGACTAAAATATGCATACGAAACACACAGCAGAGACGTAGTGAAAAGCAGATACGAATTAAAGGTTTAAACATTGAAAAATCCAGTGTTTAACCAACAATCCGGCCCTTCGTCTAGACGCAGTACTAGGGAAAGAAAAAAAGAAAAGAAAAAAATAGAGACCAAAGCTTGCACACGAAACACACGACTGAGAGATGTGGAGAGCAACTATAAAGGGCATTTTCCTCAGTGCAGGAGACACACACTTACACGAAAGAGGATGAAGAAGATGAAAACACATAATATCTCTCACACAAGGCAATGAATTAACGATCCCACTGTTAAAAATTATGCATTGAATGTTACAAACTATCTCACCAAATTTCAGCTCAATCCAGCGGTGAAATAATCTGCGAACATTGATTCATCGAGACTGCTCCGTGAATATGAGAAAATGACTCTCTTTCTTCTTCCCTCTCAAATGGCTACACATAAAACTAAATAAGACCTCTTTTACATTACCTAATTTAACTTCTCTCCACTTTACTTAGTGAGACTCACAATGGGCTTCAATATTGAGCCTTTCTCCATCTAGGAAAGGAGCCTAAACCCAACAAAGGTCACTCATGAATTTAAAGAAATTTAGTTATAAATTTAATGAAAGTGACTTATGAATATATATATATATATATATATAGTTACTTGTAAATTTAAGGAGAATCAATGGTAAAATTTTGAAAAGTTATTTGTAAATTTGTAAAAAGTTAGTCGTGAATGGATATTCAAAAATATGAGAGGAAATCTAATATTTTATTGATTTGCAATTAAGATTATTTATATTATTCATTCACCACAAAAGTTTCATATAAGCACAAATAATATTTTTAAATTTACAATTGATTGTTCTTAAATTACAAGTGATACATAAATATATAAGGCTATCTATTCATTTTCAATTGAATTTTTATAAGTTCACTATTGACCTTTTAGAAAATTGAATAGTGAATATCCTTAAATTTATTTTTTTTACCGGAGATTGTTCTTAAATTTTTAAGTGACAATACAGAAATTCATAAAATTATCTATTCATTTACAATTTACTTTCCATTACAAATAACATTATTTAAATTTACAATTAATTTTATTGAAATTCATTATTCGCATGTCATTAATTATTTTAATAATTATTTATAAAAAATTATAAATAAAAAACCAATATTTTTCGATGATATTTCAATAATTTTGATATTTTTAATTATTGATAATGTCTTTACAAAATATATAATTGTTATTTTCCAAAAAAAAAAATTCCTTTATGGAATTGATGTGGAAATCAAACGAAAATAATAATATTCTTTTAGCTGCCCCAAAAAATATATATATATATATATATATATTCTTTAATCGTAGAAATTTAAAAAAAAAAAAATACTGATCCTAGTGGCCAAGCTAGTTGTATCTATTATTAAAAGCCCTTGTCCCTATATGACAGTCTCATGTGATTGCAACGACCTCGTTAAGTAAACAACACTTCGCCAAGCTGCCGGTATGAGATTAACAATTTTGGCACCAATTAGGCAACACGTATCAAAATTCCATGCTCCAGATTGAATATAATTTCTTTTATATTTTTAATAATTTATTATTTTAATAGGTATAGAATTTACAAATTTTAAATTTTAAATCTTAACTATTATAATTTATTTTATATGATACGAATCTCAAATGAGCACTAGAGTCTAGATGTTCTTGATAGTGTTCATCAATGTGATATGGATTGAAATTCATCCATGGTAAGGTCCATATATTTTTTGAATGGGAAAGAGATTTTATTTTTAAAAAAATCAACGAATAAAAAAAGAGAAAAATATTTTTTAAAAATAATAATTTAATGTTCAAAAATGATAATTACACTATAGGACTGAAATTACAATAACGTAAATAGATTAATTATATTTTTTTAAAAAAAATTATTTAAAAAAGATTGATATGATCTTTTATATAAATTTGCTTTTCATATATAATGTAAATCATCAAAATATTTTATATCTAATAAACTTTTAAATTTAAATATTTTTTATTTAGTTTGAAGGATGTAAAATATCAAAAGTACATAGTTTAAAATTGTAATTGTAAATTTACATATGTTACATGTAATATTTTTCAAAGTAAAAGGATGTATTTGCTTTTTCGACGGCAATTACATGGGTACCTAGGAAACATTTTTTATATAATTATTTAATACGGCTGCATATTCCATGACTAGAATTTAAAACTTTAAAATAAATTGATTCGACACTTTTCATTAAATGAATAATGTTCCCCTTAGTAAGACAAAAATACTAATCAACAATGACTTAGAAGAATCTAAAATACATCTAATATACTTTATAATGTCCTAATTTCTAATTTTACAATTTTGGTTTTCATTTTTTGTATCATTGACTTTTACTTAAAATAAAAAAATATTTTGATATTTTAAAATCTCAAATAATAGAGTTCTATAATTTTTTATGATTTTTTTTAAAAAATCATAATTGCATCTTGTTATTGTTTTAATATCCTTTTATTTTTAAAAATAGTTTAAAAACACAAAATTTCACCATTTTGAAACTTGGAGATATCAATATATATATACTTCCTCCATTTAAAAATATAATATGTCTTTTGAAGAGTTAAATGTTCAAAAATGTAAAATATTTTTAATCTTTCCAGATATAATCATTATCTTTTTTTCAAAAGTGTCCTTATTGATAATAACTTTATATTTATTATAGAATGTTTAATAGGAGTAAATATAAAAAAATAGAGTTAGAAAGTAGATAACTACTTTATTAGAAGTGAGATTTAATTGAAAATGTTTTATATTTTTAAATGGTGGGAGTATGTATTTATATATTAAGGCATTACAAAATATATATCTCTTATTTTATTTTTAAAAAAATAAAATTAAAAAGTTAAGACATTTTTCATTAAAAAAAAAACACATCAAAAGCTCTATCCCATTAAAAAGTAATAGTAAAACCAAATCTTCTTTTCTTTGCTATCAAATAACTACAATCATATCTTTAAAGATATGAAAACGAAATAGCTCTTCCTTATCAAAGCTACCTCAACGCTCATCTACAACTACAAGGAAGGCGAAAACCAAGGAAAGGCTTTTTTTTTGGGGGGGGGGGGGGTGTGTTTGGGGGGGGGGGGGAGATGATACTGTAGCATATACAGTACATATCATTTAGGGTGCATTTGGTCTGCATCCGTTTTACGTTCAGAAAGTAAAATTTCACTTTTAAAAAGTTAAAAATTATTTTGGGTAAAATATTTTATAGAAAAGCACATCCTGAAAGTACATTCAAACAATAACTGAAAGTGAATTTTTGAAACGTAACTATTTAAAACTTTTGAAAAGTGAATTTGAAAAGTAAGATGTTATTTAACCATATTACCCTAAGTTTAATCTTATTTTTTTATTTAAAAAATAGTTAATTCATTAAAAATATAATTATTATTTAATAATAATAATTAGGTATCAATTTTTTTAGTATTATAAATTAAGTAATTAATCATATTAATTTTTATCATTAATGTATAATAAAAATTAAAAATCTTTATTACATCTTTTAAAATTACAAATTAAAAAATACAATTAATTAGAGATCAAATTTTTAACATTATAGATTAAAATTTATGTTATTTAAAATATTTATTACATTTTTTAAATATTTTGAATATATTACATTTGTATAATAAAAATTATAAATTATTATAAATCAATATTCTTTTTGATAATTGTGCCTTCAAAAGCATATTTCACTATCACAAACCAAACAACTTTTAATATATTAAAATAATTTTTAAAAAAATATATTTAAATATAAATTTCATTATAAATGAGACTGAAAACTAAACGCAGACTCAGACACAAGGTGGGGGGAACAATGATACTGTAGCATATACAGTACATATCACTCAGACTCAGACACAAGGTCAATGCTATGACTTTGAAGCATTTCCACTACACGGCTCATTGAAGGTCTTGCATCCTTATCTTCCACTATACACTGCAACGCTACTGTAACCAAAACCTCCATCGTCTTCATCTCAAAGCTTCCCTCAACTGTCGGATCAATGACTTGTTCCACCCACGCCTTTCCTTCTCCTTTGTTCTTCTTCTCCCTCACCCATGTCACTAGCCTCCCCTGATGTGTGTGATCTGGTCCATCAACCCTCAAGCTTTTTCCTGTTATCATTTCCAACACCACAATTCCATAGCTGTAAACATCAACTTTGGATGTTATTGGTAAGTTGAATACCCACTCTGGTGCCATATATCCTCTTGTTCCTCTGATCCTTGAGAAGCTTGGATTGTTCAGGTCGTTCCTGTTTTGCAGCTTTGACAGTCCAAAATCTGCAACCTTGGGTTTGTAATCTGAATCCAGAAGTATGTTTTGAGGTTTTATATCGCAATGCAGAACCCACTCCAAGCATTCTTCGTGGAGATACGCAAGACCTCTTGCTGTTCCTAGAGCGATATCATACCTCTTTCTCCAATCAAGTAACATCTTGTCGGATTCAAGGTTTTCTGCTAAAGAACCATTTTCCATGTACTCGTACACCAACATTCTGTACTTTCCTTCAGCACAATAGCCCCACATGTCGATCAAGTTCATGTGGTTAAGTCTTCCAATTAAGTTGACTTCTGCAAGAAACTCACTTTCTATTTGGTTTGCTTCGTTGAGTCTCTTGATTGCAGCGACTCGTCCATCTTTTAACACACCCTTGTATACGATTCCTCCGGCGCCTCTTCCAATCTCTTCATTAAAGCCTCTTGTTGCTTCTTTCAACTCTGAGTAGCTATATTTTCTGAACCCAGTTCCAGTAAGATGATCATAATTCTGTTGCTCACTATAATTTTTCCACGTAAGACACCAAAAGAGAAAGACGCATGAAAGTTCAAAGACTCCAATTGCTATGGCTAACCACAATAAGACCTTCACTAAAACACTGTCTTGTCTTGAGACATAGACTCTCTCAAGCTTTACAGACTTAACAAGATCACACTTGGTGTTGGGTTCTTGAAGAGTGAATGAGCTCGAATTAGGGAGTCTCAAGTGAAAACCTCCTCTGAAAGCAGGGGAAAGATTGCCATTGACCAAAAGGGTCTTTGGGTAGCAAAGAAATTGTGCACCGTCATGTGTATATTGAAAGCCATTGCAATTACATAACTTCAAGCATTCATTCTTGCATTCATCAAATGTAATGTTAAGGTAAGTCCCTTGGTCGTACCCGTAGAAATCGCCATTAGGTATATAAAGAAAGCGAGAATCTTCTGGGTTATTGCAAGACAAATTGAACTCTGGTTCACACCCAAGTGACGGATCGGTTTCATCCTTGAACCTGTAACCTGGAAGACATAAGCATGTTCGACCAGAATAAGGTTCATATTTACAAAAACTGTTTTCTCCACAGATTCCATGAATGTTGCAACCTGCAGAAAAAGCTTGCCATGAAACAGACCATTTCTCTTCCCAATTTCTTCGACTATAGACCCTGACATTTCCATCACTATCAATGGTTAATCGTCTCTGAAGCACAAGGCCATAGTCTGATGTCTCGCTGGTAAAGTTATCAGTTGAAATGAAATCACCGTACAAACCGAGAAACATAAAGCGACTTGCGTTGAAGGTGGACCTACCAACTTGCCATGGTTGAAACCAGGGAGGTGGCCAGTAAATACTCGAAAGCTCAGGGCCATCGTAGACAAGACGAAGAACATTATCATTGTCAAAAAATAACTTATGAAAACCAGAGGATGGGTTTGTATGACTTTTGGAGGAGACAAGACTAGCATGTCTGGTGAGCCTTTGTCCGGGAACTAGCGTGTCTGTTGGAAAATCAAAACTTTGCCACACAATATGATTAGGGGGTTCAAGAAGAACAAGATTACCATCATCGTTCAGAATCAATTGTGGAGGTTTAGACGATGTCGTGTTCGTAGCCCAAACATCAACCTGACCGGCATCGTTCAACACCAGATTTCCATTGCTACGGAGGGCAAGCGTTGAGCCCTTTCCGTTCACCAGTACGTCACGATTCGCCATCCAAATCACAGTCAAGTTTTGGCCTTGAGGTTCAGTGAACCAGATAGCGAAAGCAAAAGCATTCTCACCGACGTCATAGAAGCCAGCAGTGAAACTGCCGTTTCTTGATTTGATCACATGTTCTGGATTTTCCACCGACAGAGACAATAAATTATTCGAGGAAGAAGATAAACACAGTAAAGGCAAAGCCGACACGACGAGGAGGAATATCAGCAGGGAAGATAAACTCAGAAACGCCATGCGAAAGTTAGATTGAGAGCTCAACCGAGCTGTGCAAATGATTCAAGTTCATTTAACAAAAACTTTATTGAAAGCGCGGTGGCGGATTGAGTTGATCTACGACCCAAGTGGTCAGATTTTTCGCCTTATCCGTTGTGCAAACCGACAACGGCTTTGCAAGTTGTCAGTTGTCACCGATTTTGTACTTGTAATAATCAAGTAGAACGGGCCTTTTTCTTTTTTCTTTGATAAATAAAGTATAAGTGGAACCCACTTTCTGAATATGTAATAATTTGATTAATAAGAAACTTCGGTAACCCTTGATATTTCTTTAATATTTATCTACCACTACCGACTATATAGGCCGTGCAAAAATCCCATCCTCTTTTCTCATCAGTTCGATCCCATCCGACCCTATAACATTATTTTAATGTAATTTTAATTATTTTCAATATATGTAAATGGTTTTGCAGTATTTTTTTCGTTCACGTTTCACCTTTTATTTAATATAATTTTAATTAAATATTTTTAAATTGATGTTATCCTAAATGTTGGCACTTATTTTTAATAGAGTATCTTGGAGATAAAAAGTTGAATGATTTATTTATTAAAAATATTTTTTTAAAAAACTCATTAATTATATATTAAAAACAAAAATATTTTATAATTTTAAATATCTAATATAAAAATAATTTATATTTTTTAACTATATTCATTCATCTAAAATATAAGCAGTTTTTAACAATAATTTACGTACTAATAAAATTATTATTTTTATAAAAATATATGTATTGTTTTTTATTGTACCAATTACCAATAATGAGTAAGAAGAAAATTATAAATTTACACAAGATTAATAAATATAATAGGTAAAATGAAAAAGATTTACAATTACTAATTTACTGATATTTTAGACTAAAACTAATTTTAAAAAAAGCTTATACTTATTATTGGTAATTGGTAAAAACACCATTTGAATCTTAAACAACGGTTGGGTGAGGGATTGAATATTATAGGGTTAATAAACATCAAAAATTATAAACTATTATATGAATAATATCTTAAACTTTGAACTTTTAAAATTTATTCAAAATTTTTTCAATTTTTAAATTCCGAATGCCTGAAACTCTCCCGTTAAGTTGGAGAAAAAAACTTTTATTTTTGAGAGTTAAAATGAGTATAACGTCGGTGTGTGATTAGATCCCATAATTATAAAAGTAATGATCATTTTCTTCAATTTAATAGCAATATTTTAGATGCTTGAAATTTAAAAATTGAAGAGACTTTTTATATATTTTAGGAGTTTAAAATTTAAAATGTTATTTGTGTAGTCCCTTAAAATTTGCAATACTCATTAACCTAATATTATATACAATGCTACATTATTGAAATGCATGATAAAGAATCAATAATAATTTTTTTTTTGGTTGAGTAAGGAGGGATCCCATATTAAGATCTGCTAATGCAAAGTCACAATTACAAGTTTGATCATGTAATAAATATTTATTGAAAAATATGTTTTTATTTATATAAATTACACATTGATAATAATAAACAAAGTACCCACAGGGCCAAAGGCCATAAGGGGTCATCGTTCAGTGTTCACTGTTCAGCGTACTGCCACTTGTTTATATTTTATATTACTGGTGACTGATTATCTTAAGATTTTTTTTGACCGGTTATTATTTTAAGATAAATATACTTTTTACGTCACACAAAATGTGTGTTTGATTTTGAATAATTCACATCTGACGAAAATATATTTAAAAAATTTAATTATTTATTCAATTTAATAAAAGTATATTTTAAATATAGTTTAAACGTGTTTTTGAAAATTATTTAAATATATTTAAAATTTGAATGAACCAAATGATTTATAAAAAGTATCTTGTTATTAATTTTATAATATATATTGAATATAGTTTTATATTGATTATATATATTGATATATTAACTATGATTATTATTATTATTATTCATACTATTTAAAATAATGAACACAGAAACCCGTTAAGACTAATTTCAATGTTTATAAAAACATTAATTTAAAATTCGGTTCAAGTTTATATATGGATGGTACGAAACACTATTCATTGAATTGAAACTTGAAAAGCTACTTACAAGTGGCAACAAGAATTAGAATTCACAAGGATATGCAGATACAATTCATTAATTAATTTTATAATATATATTCAATATGGTTTTTTATTCATTACATATATTTTGATATATTAACTATTATTATTATTATACTATTTGAAATTATGAACACAAAAACTCGGCAATATATAGTAATTTCAATTTCAAAAAAAAAAATAATTTAAAATCTGGTTCAAGTTATAAACTCATGTATCATTAAAAAAAAGTGACGTGTTTGATTGCTCATTGAGATGCTTATTAACCTAATATGATATACAGTACTACATTATTGAGATGCGTGATAAAAAATCAATAATATATATATATATATATTTGTTGAGCAAGGAGAGACCCTATATTAGGATCTAGTAAGATGAGACCCTCTAATAGGATCTGCAAAGTCATACTTAGTTGTGTTTTTTTTTTAATATAAGCAAAAAAAAACATTTTTAATAAATATTTATTATAAATCTTTTAATTTACCCCACCATAAACTCATAATTTATTGTCACGAGAAATATTTATTGTAACTTTATGTTGATTAAATATAAGAGTATTTTAATTTATTTTTTATTTTTAAATATAATTATTATAGTTAACTGCTTTTCTTTAGCAATATGGTACAATTATTTTCTTCTATATTAGAAACGAAGTGAGTTAAAAGAAATTATAGGAAATATAAGATAGAAAATTAAAAAAAAAAGTGTTGGAACATTGTTATTACTGTTTTATTAAGAGTTAGTGTTCTACTGATTGTTAGAGAATACGCTACTCTCTGTTGAATATGTGCTACACCAAGAAAACGATGCCGAATTTGCTGAAGGAGGAAATATCTGATTTGGTCGGACTAATAATTAAATTGATTTGAGTGTTTTTGAATTGTTGGAGTTGGAGTTGTTGAAGAGATCGAAAAAATCTCATATATGTTGCGACTTCGTCCTTTTATAGTCACAAAGCGATAATTTTCCACACAGCTGCATGATTCACTTTTTTTAGGGACATTAGCTATAGTTGTTCTACATTGATCCACTTTTTCTTTTGCTGGAAGGGGTGCATGATTCACTCTTTTATAAGATTTAGGTAGGCTTGGGCCAAAAATTATATTTTAATTTAAATAAATTTTATATTAATTATATATAAGGAAAATATTATTCAAGGATCATTGAGGCAATTTAATATCAAACAAGAATAAAAAAATTCTGAAATATCACTCAGGACTAAGGAATTGATTTAAAAATAATTTAGATAAAAAAGACTATAAACCCTTGCTTCTCTTTTTTAATTGACAAATAGCCATTCATTAATTAATAAATATTTATTCACATTTAACAAGAAGTCATTTATTAACTAAAAAGTTTAAAAATTTAAAAGAGTTTGGTTGTGAAAAGGGATAAGTAGAAATTATGCATCAATAAGTAATCATTTGCTAATTAACAAATATCCATTCTCATTTAACAAAAAACCATTTCCTAATCGACAAATTCAAGAATATGAAAGAGCTTGGTTGTAGGAAGAAACAAGTATATATTATGTTTCAATAAGTAACCATTTATTAATTAACAAATACCTATTTGCATTTAATAAGAAACCATTCGCTTATTGACAAGTTCAATAATATAAAAGAGGCTTATTGAAAAAGAAAAGCAGGGGTATTATAGTCTTTTTTATCTAAAATTATTTTCAAATCAATTCTTACATTATATTTCGGAATCGTTTGGTCCATATTTGATATTAACTTACCTCTGTGGTCCTAGAATGATATTTTCCCTTATATATATATATATATATATTAACTACTCCCTCCATTAAAAAATGTGAGACATTTTTAATTAAATTTTATTTTTTAATAAAGTAGTTACCTACTTTTCAACTAATCTTATCTTTTCATATTTACCCTTATTAAATATCTTATAATAAATATAAAGTCATTATCAATAGGGATACTTTTAAAAAAAGCAACAATTATACATCGAAAAACTAAAAATGCCTTATATTTTTTAATGAAGAGAGTATTATTTTTTATATTACTTGAAATTATGAACATAGAAACTCGGCAATAGTAATTTTAATTTTTTGAAAAATATTAATTTAAAATCTCGTTCAAGTTGTTATATGGATGTGGAACAAAAGACTTACATAAAGTTGAAACTTGAAACGTTGCATACAAGTTGCCATAAGAATCAGTTTTCACAAGGATATGCAAATACAATTTAATAATTAATTTTATAATATATATTGAATATATTTTATATGATTATATATATATATATTGATATATTAACTATTAATATTCATACTATTTGAAATCATGAACACAGAAACTCGTCAATACTAATTTCAATTTTTAAAAGGGAGAATTAATCTACAGGTCCTTATATTTTTTTTTAAATTTTGAATTAGGCCTCTGTAATTTATTTTATTTTAATCGAGTCTTTATAATTTGATTTATTAAATATATTAATCCTTGAAGATTAAAATTGATAAAATTTCCAAACAAAAATACTTTTATAATTTATAAAAAAATAATTTAATACTTTTAGCCAAAATCAAAAAAAGAAATTTTGATTTAATACACTATTTAAATTTTTATTAATTTTTTATGAAAAATCTATAAGTATAAAAATTATTTAAATGAAAACTTGATTATATAAATTTTGAATTACAAAAATTATATATTTAATTCTAAAATTATATAATCATTTAATAAAAATTTAAAAGTTTTCAGTTTTGTTTTTGAAAGAAAGAATTCAATGATTTTAATTTTCAAGGGTCTAAAAATTTATTGATCAAACTATAAAAACTCAATTAAAAGAAAATAAACTGTATGAACCTAGTTTAAAATTGAAAAAAATTATAACAACTTGCAGATATATTTTTCTTTTTAAAAAACATTAATTTAAAATCGGGTTTAAATTGTTATATGGGTGAAACAAAACACTATTCATAGAGTTTGTAAGACTATAGAGACCAGAAAACGTAAC